GTATAGACAATAAAATGTTGCATTGTTTTGTTGGTAAGATAATTACAAATGATCTACCCAGGCAAATATCAGATCAGGAAAAGGAGAGAGAAAAAGTCAACTAAAATTAAAGTAAACAGTCTACTACAAAATGAAGGTAATTGCTATAAATTGACAATGACAATTACTGTACTTTTTGCAAGTAGCAATTTAACAACAAATACCCTTTTGCTATACTAACCTCATATGATATTTCTTAACAACCTCTGTACTATTTTGTGTTCTCAAATGAAGCTATTGTTAGGAAAATAAATAATGAGCAATGAGTCCCATGATAACCTTGTGATTATTATCATTACATTCCACAACCTACTAAATTTTGAGGGTGAATTAAACCTTTCAGATGACTCTTTTCCCCTCTATAAGTACAATGATGAGGGCCACTGTTTTGCTCTAAAGCTTTGTTTCTGATTTTATAAAATGTAATTCTTACATATCCATTCACTCATTTTTGCAGACTTTATTGCAAATTGGCTGCATGCAAACATTGTTCTAGATCTTGTTAAGGGGAGCAATGGAAAGCTCAACGCAAAAGAACTTGACATTAATCCTGTTTCTGCAGAGTTCAGAATTGAACAGGGAAGATAAAATACATGTCTTAATAATGGAAGTGATATGTATTAGAAAGGCATAGCTTATACTCACAAGAGAGATCAACCTTCCCCTGTGAGGCCTGGGAAGAGAGACACTGGGGGTGGAGGTGGGGGGCAGGGAGATGGCATCTGACCTGGGCCTTACTGGACCAGCAGGATTCAGAAGCACAGAGCTGAGACAGGAATGGGGCTGAAGTGGTGGCAACAGGTGCTGCGGGCGGCTTCTACAGATGAGGGGGAGGTTAGTGCGCTGAAGGCAGAGATAATCTGCCTTCAGAAGGGAACTGAGGTTGAAAACACAGTTTGGAGCAGGTGGCATAGAACTGATTCCTTATTCTAGCTTGTCTAAATATAGACATAAAAGTATTTTCTCAAGCTTTCTCTAGGTAAGAGGAAAAGGAAGGTTTTATTGTACTGGTTTTAAGTTCTGTAGATGCCATTTTTTTCCCATTTAGTTTTTTCCTTTAAAAATAAATGGCAAAAATAAATTTAAGGAGCATAGACTTTCCTTTTCTTTTTCAACCAGGTCTCTACTGTCAACAGTTGTCTACCCTCCTGGAATACTCTGGGCAGCACATACATATGTATACCATCTGTCTGCATGTTCCCTTCCACTCCATATCTACTTTGGTTCCACCAATAATACACCTGGGAAATTTTTCTACACCTGTCCATATAAGTGTCTCTCTCTTTCTCTCTCCTTTTCTCTCTTACTGGGGGTTGAAACTTAGGCCTCCACCCAAGCTACATCCCCAGCCCTCTATTTTGACACAGGTTCTCACTAAGTCCCGCAGGCAAGCCTTGAACTTGGTCTTCCAGCCTTAGCCTCCTCAAGTGCTAGGATTACTGGCATTTGCCATTGTCTTTTAAATAGTAATCTAATAACCTATTTTATAGAACTACCATGATTATTTAACCAAGTCCCTAAAGACAGACTTGGTATTATTTGACTTCGCTATTTCTTGGTGTTAGTTTATTTATGTATTTATTTATTTTTGACAGTCTTGCTATGAAGTCTAAACTGGCCTTGAGTTTACAATGTTTGCCTCAGCCTCCTGAGTGCTGGCATTACATACACATGTGCAGCACCATGCCCAGGGGTGTTTAACTGACAATAACAAAAGATTTATTTTATGTGTCCTAAAACAAACTAAATTCAAGGGCTCCTGAGGTCATCTAGGAATTAAAGTGAGGGAATCAAAATGCACCTGAGAGAAAGCCAGGTGGTCCCTATGAAAAACATGAGGCGGTTCAGAAGGGTTATTGGTTTTGCAATGTACTTGAGGCATGTGTTACTTCTGTGACCAAGAACTTGACTATACTTTCAACCTACCACTTAGTATGCTCAATAGTGCAAAGCTATTTTCATTATAGTAAAGAAGGTAGTTCTATGTAGAACATAGCAAGATAATTCAGGAAAGCTGATGATTTTAGACATGACTTAAAGCTAAAGTACTTTGGAAAGTAAAAAGTAAGCTTTAACTTAAAAACACCCATTGATAAGGATAAAATTTCCCTCACGCTATTAACAATGCAGGGCTAGTTTTCAAAGAAAGCAACATTAAGAGCAAGATGGTGCTTTAGCTCACATGGCTCTAAAGTCAGGCCATCCTGGATGGGGCACTGGCACCCAATGATCTAAGTTACCATCACAGGAGAGTTACTAAGCCTCGGTCAGTTCACCCAGAAAATGGAGCTGGCACCTACCCAATGGTGTTGTAAGGGTGAACAGAGTCAGGTAAGGTGGCACATACAGTTACTTCTATAATTATTAACCAATAAATGTTAACCATTGCTTAGTGATTACCTAATAATAACCATAATACTTTAATAAGTACTCACTGTACACTGTGTTGTGCATCTCTTCTGTTTCACCTTCACATATACACACATGTTCACACAGCCTCACACTGACTTACTCCTCACAACAATGCATAGAGTTGGCACTGAGCAATAAAAATTTCCTTGCATGTCACTGTTCAAAGTGTTTTCAGATACATAATCTTCTTTATTCCCACAATCAAAAATGAAAAACAGGACCCCAAAAGGTCTCGAATTATAAGGTTTCAAAATTTAGGAAAATGCAAAATTTAACGCTATTCTTGCAACAGAGCAAAACTCGTTGAATTTAATTGAATTAGATGTGTGTTAAACGGAAATGACAGTCACTATGCCTAGATCAAAAAAACGAATCTGAATTCATCCAAGAAGAAGAAATCACACCACGTTTCCAGTTGAGCCCCGTGAAGAGAGTGCAACCAGCCCCAGTGCGACACGGAGGAGCCTTTCCAGTTGTGCTTCCAAAGAAGTCAGACAGTTTTGGAGTCCTTTTCAGTGCTGGACAGGGAGCCTGGAACAGAGCCCTGTACCAGATGAAATGTTTGGATCCTGTCAACTGCTCCTTGGCTTTCAGCAGCTGTAGGAGCAGCTGGTTTTACAAATGTCACAGAGTAAGGCCTTGTTTTGGGGTGGAAGAATTCTATGTCCCGTGAGAACTTTTAAATTTGAGTCTTTATACAACTACCATCATGAGCTATCATACAAGATGTGGTATGTGTGCTCACTATGCATGCTTCTTACAAATAATTAAATGGCATAAATGATTTTATCCAAGAAAAAGCCTTCCTGCCACTATAAAACTCAATTGTACCCAATTCTTTGCTTAAAGAGTCAGGAGCTAAGAGAGCAAGCATCCCTAAATCAGTGTAAGTAAAAATCAGTTGGTTTCCAGGAATGGCAGACTGGGACACAAGAAATTTATTCCTGTTCCTCCTGATATACAAGGAAAAGGATTTTATTTTATTCTTTTAGAGGTGTAAATGTGCTAGGACAAAAGAACACAAGGAAAGACAACAGTGACACGGTTTTGAAGACTAGAAGGTAGCAGAATTGAATTGATAGTTAAGACCAACCCATTTATACCACAGAAACTCCCAGAGGCACAGGTTGGCACTGCCAGAAGCAAGGAACAGTGCAAGGGATAAGCTAAAATAGTCTGAATGTGTTGAATGTTCTTGAAGGCAAAGCTAGAATCCCCAGACCAGGCTTCTATTCCACAAAGCTGTGTGGGTGCTCCTGTCCTATAGTGGAGAAGTTTGAAGGTAATAGCATGAGATGCAGGTCTCCGGGTGAAGGGTTGGCTACACTCTGCAGGGAGGGGAATGGTAATGAAAACTGGGGGTTGAGAGAATGTGCAACCTGGGGTGCTACTCCCAGTCCCTCTCCCAGGAAGATGGAGGCCAGGCCTTGACCCCATGGGTAGGAGTCAGATCTTCTCTGGGTGACCAGGACAGCTGAAGTACTGAAAAAACTGCCTTCCTCAAGTAAAGGGCCACTGTGAGCACCTCATGTGAAGCCATTAGCAATAAATTCCACATGAGAGCGCCAGACAGAATTACTCTTGTTTTTCCCCATTCCTAATATAGCACAGGGAAGCACTGCCTGACATCTGAGCAAAGAGTCTAAGATGAAAGATAGGGTCCAGAACAAAATGAGTATCAGTTCATACTGAGGGATACCATTAGCACAATTCAGACTGTAGGAAAGTCTGCAAGACAAACAGCCCATTTTCTTGAATAAACTAACTGCATTGGGGGGAATCCCCAGAAAAGTGACATGACATCCTCAAATACAAGTTACTCTTTCCACACCGTGTTGTTATACAGATTTAGAAAAAAACAGAATAAGGATTTAGAATAAAACAGTAGTAGTACATAGCACAAACAGCAAACTATGAAAGTTGTTTCTATCGTCAAATAATTGTCTTTTTACACTCTGCTAACAAATAACATAGTACAATAACTAAAAAGAAAAAAAAACAGACATCAATGTAACATTTGCAAACTAAACGTATTTCCAGATTTGGAATGACTGAAAAAAAATGCTATTTTTGTTATAGTCAAAACTCTGAAAATTTCTCTTTTTTAAGCATACTTTCTACAAACATATCTGCACATAATACATGTTTCACAGCAATTCAGATAGCAGAGTGGTAACTGACTAATTAAATAATTTAATATTTTGACGATTTAGTTGAGACTCAGAGTGACAATGTGAAGCCCAAAAATATAAAAATAGAAAGTGTTTTAAAAAGTTACTTCCAAATGTTTTAAATTTTAAAAAATCAATATGTTTGATTAATAATAAGATTTTTCTCCTGCCTCGTGCTTGAAAGCATCAGGTATATTTTGGAAATACTACAGGCAAACAATAAATTTAAATATTTAAAAATATGTACCAGTACTCACCCCAGTTAATAAAAAATACATAACAACTACTTAGAAACATTTCCAATTTTTTTTCTACGTTGTAACAGAAGCCTACAGAAAATAGTTTTAAAATGGAAAGTTTAGTCATGTCAAGACTCACAGAAAAAGAAGGATTCCAGTGTTTGCCAGGGCGAAAGCAAGTCCCAAAATCCCACTGCCCATGATGGCGTTGCTTAGGTTAAAGACAGACATGCCCAGCGAGGTTGTTCCTGGAATCTGAACAAAGAAACAAACACAGTGAGCCAAACAGTCTCCAACAAAGTTCATCAAGCCAAAGCCTTTAAAGCACTATTAGGAAGCACCGTGGAAAAAAGATTTAAGACATTCTTTTCTCAGTAGTCTAGTTACCATTTTTAAAAATAGGTTTCAGGAGAAAAGTACATAGGATATAGTTGTGCTTTTGGTGCTAACCTATGGGGATTAAAAACATCTGTCCTAATTTATGTGGTTGTAAAGAAAAAAGCACACTTATTTCAGTGATACTTACATATTCGTCACATTTCTTTTTCTCCAAATGGCTGTTTGTGAGACTTCTTCTACTTTCACGATCAGAAATGAACTTGCTGTAAAGACATGTACAACACAGTCTTATGATAATGATTTAAAGCTTAACATCCAGACTAAATGATTTACTATTTACCAAAACATATTACACATGAACTGGTTTGTGTAAAATGAATAGCCCCATTCAACACATTCCCCCATCGTTTGTGTGGAGGGGGCATTGTCAGTTGTATATATTCATGTTTTACCAAATAAACTGTAAGAGCTTCAACAGCAGGTAGTTTGCTTCATTCATTTTTATATCCCTCACTCTACCTAGTATAAAACCTTAACAATAATAGGTGCTCATCTTGAGATAAAATAAAAGACAACCATAAGTCAGAAAGTTATATATATTGTATATATACAGTGTAAGTTAACTTTAATGTAAATTTTCCTCTAAGTACAAAATTAGGTAATACCAGGACCATTATAAATGTATTTTAAAGCATACTACAGGCAAAGTTCATCCCGAGCCACATTGGGGCACAAAATTACTATGTAAGAATTCCCTCTTCCTTGCAAAATGAGGAAGAAAACAACAGTTTTGCCATAAAACATTCCTTCGGCCCTCACTATATGCAGGTTATGAGGACAGGTGATAAGGGAGACAAGGGCTCCTTAATAAGTGATGCCTGCATCAGGCTCTAGGAATTCAGATAGGAAATTATGGCAGAGAGAGTTTGGGCCTATTGTCTACCATTAGGACCAAAGCTAGAGCTATAAGAAAACATGGAATTCAGAATTTGAGTTCAAATCCTCACTAGGTCTGAGGACCTGGGCATGCTACCTTGGTTTCATCACCTATGAAATGGGAGGAACGCTGTTTTGTAGACTTATTGGGAAACTTAAACAAGAGCACATGGCTGGATGTGGTAGAGCGCATCTGTAATCCTAGCACTTGAAAGGCTGAGGCAGGAGGATTGCCTCAAATTTGAGGCCAGCTTGGGCTACAGAGTGAGTTAAAGGCCAGCTTGGAATGCATAACGAGGCCCTGTGTCTAAATAATAAATACAAGGAAGAGCACATGTAAAACATCAATCCAGCATCTAGCACACAGAGCAACAGCCACTGGTCGTTCCTGATCCCATGGGGAGAGGCGGCTGGGATGGCGAAGAGCCAGACAGGCTGAATGCCATAAACTGCATACAAATACATAGAAATAAGCATTTGAGATGCTCTAAGAACCATTAAATATACTCAGGGTTATAGCCAAAACTTTATGACTTTTATGGTTTAGCTGTAGGATGTCCCCCAAATTCTCAAGCACTCAGAAGCAGGGCTTGGCGGGGGGTGGGTCATAAAGGCACTGGACTTGTTACTGGGTACAAGTAACAAGGGGAACTCCACGGGGAGCTCGGCCACTGCGTGTGCTATTGGGAGATGGTGCCTGGATGACAGTGGTAGTCACTCGAGGCAGGCCTGAGCAGGGTGGGCCTCCCTCCTGGTTCCTCTCTTCTCTTTTGCCATCTTAGCTATTAAGCTTTCTTCACCATATCCTTCTACTCTGCTGTTTCTCCCTGCACCAGCTGACCATGGACTAAAACGTGAGCTCAAATAAATCTCTTCTGCTTTAAATTGTGAGGGCCAGGTATTGTGTGTCACTGGCAAGGTGGCGACTAACACAACGGTCAGGCTAAAGTCCACATGGAGGCAAGGCACCCCATGTATTGCTAAGATACATTAATAAGGTATTTGATCCTTCCAGGTCTGTAAATTCAGTGATTTGTTTATGGTTAGGCCTAATCACAGTGAATTTTTCATTAATAAATTTAAAACCATCTAAATTGGACTTTATTTAAAGTTTACTATTTATTTATCGGTACCAGGGATCGAACTCATGACCATGCGCTTGCGCCGCTGAGCTAAATCTCCAGCCCAAAGTTTACTATTTTAGTGGAAACTGTGGCTAGAATAACTACAGGTAGGGCTCTATGGAAAGGTCTGGTTTATATTGAGAAAATATGCACTCAGGTACTGGGTAGAGAGCTCAGAGGTGGGTGCTCTCTTGCTGACTTACAGAAGACAATCGATCTTGACAAAGAGAACCACAGTGATCAGTTCTCTACAAAATTCTGCTAGTTTTGATCTTGCCCTGGTTAGTCTTATAATGGTGCTGTGCAGACTGACTGAAAACTAGCAACCTCTCCACTGATCACTTGAAAGAGGGTTCAAATAAATGACAGTATTAGAACCTATTCCTTGCATGGGAGATAGTTGTAGATCTCCTTGAGAATATCTAGCATACGGATGAGAAATTGGCAAACCATTACCAATGTGGCCAAAGGGATTGTTCTTGCCGGCTCTAGGGTAGGTCTAAGAGCAGATGCGTAATTGTAGTTGAAAAGACAATCTATTTTTTGAAGTGGGACTCTACCACCAGGTCATTGTTGTAATGGACAAGTCTTCTTTACACAAGAAGCTTTAATAGCAAGATACCCCACTTTTCTATTTTCATACAGCTTCACTGATGCTCGCTGAGCTCTTGAACAACTCAAATAGCATGTGAAACAGATGTGAGGGTGCATAAACTACCTGAATAGGTCTTCCTAGTGCTTTTGCATGGAATTCTTCAACTGGTCTGGAGCTACCACGCAGTACTGCCCACACAGCACCTTTTATAGTATCAGGAGGAATCATACTGGCCATACATTTAGGATGAGCAGGATTAGTGTCACCACCAAAAGTATGCTGGTTAATAAACAAGCAGAAAGCGATGTGGCTGGTGTAAAACCTATCCGGAAAATACTGAATGTTACTGCTAATGAAGGAGCCAAATCCAAATTTCTTCTTGTATCACTTACTCCTTGTACCACTGTGGGAGCCACATTGTCAGGTCTATATCTGACTTTAATTAGAATTTATAAAAAGTTATCTAAGACCTGTGGATTTCCCAGGGCTCACTCTCATTTTCATCTTCAAAAGCTGAGGAAAACTGCCTATATCAGCTCGCACCACTGAAGGGCATGTAAGTAAGCTGTCCCACAGACTAACTTCTCTAGTGGTGTTACCGGAGCATGCAGGAAGTTCCTTCGGTAGAAACATGTGAGCTTCCTTGCATACATTATCTCTCCTGTGTGTCAACTAATTAAGAATTCCTTCAAGCTTGTTTCTTTAGGAAACATAACTCTGCCAACTGGGGGAAGTAACCACACTTGGGAGGCTGAGATTTCAGATGAGGGGCTCTGATCGAGATCCAGGGTTCATATTCCAGAGAAAACAGCTCAGTTGTACTCCCTGGCAGAGCCATCTACTGTGGCATATAAGAGTCCAGGAACTGTTTGATGAAAAGCTGTGAGGGCATGAAGTGCCCAGTAAGTGCTGGATTTGCTTTGGCACTGGCAGCTTAAGCAGTCATTGGAGCAATCACGCCCTGGCATTCTCCCCAGAGCATGGAGCATCACAGAGACCCCTGACAGCTGGGCTACCCAACAGGGTGCATTCACACCTTGGCCTTTCTCCCAGCCTCGAGACCACTGATATAGCCCTGTGATGTTGTGCAGCTTACACCAAGTTTTATATATATATAACTTACTCTGAGACCATTACTTGGTATAAGCTGCACAATTTTGACCTGTCAATCACTGTAGGGAACCAAACAGATGTGGAAGAAATGCAGGCACTCACTTTAGCTATACTGGCTACACCAGTATAGGAATGTTGGGCTATGCAAAATTAAGATGAGGTAAGGAATCCAGGGAAACTAATGTTAGCCACGAGAAACTTAAAGGCAGAAATTGGAGAAACAGTATTGCTTGTTCTTAGCAAGAAAGTAACATAATGAAAGCAGTATCTTTAGAGAGCAACTCTGGCAACTGAATCATGCTGCTGTTAATAATTGGTCTAGCTCTTCTTTTGCCCTTAACATTTTAAATCTTTCCACAGAGTTGAAGTTTAAGATCTGGCTGCAGAGAAGCATTGAAAGGCAGCCTTTTCTTCTATACTGGCATCCCAAGGAAACATGGGTGCCAGGCTTTCTTAAATAAAATGGACTCGTAGAGCTTACAGAGAATCAGGCTAACTTTAATAAGCAACTTAGATCTACCAAATCTTTTCCCACAGGTATCCCATTTGCTTTCTTAAGCTGAAAACTTGTTTTCCACAAAGAATTCCTCTTATTTTTACATTAAGGGAGAAGCATGAGCATTTTCTTAAATAAGCCAAACAGAACACTAACAAACCACTTGCGATAGTAAATTTCAAGCCCTGGCCTGGCAGTACTCACTAGAGCTGGTGGCAGGGGACTAGAGAACAGAGAAGAAAGGGATGCAGGTCCCGTGATGTGACGCGACGCGACGTGATGTTCAGCAGGGTCAAACAGTGAAATTAAAGGGAATGAAGAAGGAGGTCCCTGCTTAGCTGCCAGCCGTTTCCTGCAAACCTGTAGAATCAGCCTGGTAACACAGCTGTTCTATGCATAGCCATTAAAAAGTATATTAAAACACATTGTCAAGTGTTTCCCTGATTCTGTCTGCTTCCTGCAGCAAGACTTCACAGATTTGCCCATCAAAATCTCTGGTTCCTCACTGAGTCAGACTCAAGTACACACTCTTCTAGTTCTGCTGTTCCAGATGCTGCTTCATTTGGTTTTGCCTCTACGCCAGTGTTAGCTAACCCTACAATCTTAGCTCCCCCTGTAATCTGACAGGAGTGAATGGAGGGCTGAGATCAGAGGAGGGCATTCTCAGAACTCAGACTGAAAGACAGAACAAGACAGGAGGAGAAGCCCCTTTCCCCAAGAGGTCTGGGTCACCCCCTACCCATCCATCCTCTCCTGCCAGGTCAAAATTTGTTTTCTTTCTTCTTGTATTGGAGATCGAACCAGGGCCTCTGCATATCCTAAACTACATCTCCAAGTTGTGTTAATTTTTTTCTCATTTAATTTTGAGACAGAGTCTTGCTAAGTCACTAAGTTGCCCAGACTAGGCTCAAACTTGAGACCCTCCTGCCTTATCCTCCCAGAGTGCTGGGACTGCAGGAGTGTGCCATTATGCCAGGTCCCTTCTGACAATTCAAAACC